GTTTTGCACAGGGCTCACCCTGTGCTGCAGAGGTGTCGTTGTTCTGTCTGGATTTCTAGGGGAATGAGATAAAAATGTATGTAAAAGAGTTGGGTTTGTAGTAGGTACTCAAAACACACAATGTTTTTTCTCCTTGCTTTTAGTTGATTCAAATACTTCTGAATCAGAGTTGTCCATCAATGACAGCTAAAAAGTGAAGCTGTTTGTAATTAATTAAATTGAAAAAAAAAAAAAAAGACAGTGAAATGGGATTAGAAATGTACAAATGTAAATATGTGACAAAGGACTAAGAAATTCGAAGTGGCCATGGCCTGTGACTCCCTGGAATGGAAGACTTCTTAAAGGGTGATTTATCTTTAAAACATAGTTCAGGTGTTTTTTTTTTTTTCTTTCTTTTTTTTTTTTTTTTTTTTATAGTTCTACTGTTGCTATGGAAATTGCCTCTGTAGGAATGTGTGCAAATGCAGAATGGATTGCTAGTTGCATGAATAGGGAGGTGTGGGCCAGGGGCAGGCAAGTTGACACTTGTCAGTCTGCAGCTTTGGTCCTGAAGAGAAAGAAACAGAATGTGGCTGAGGAACATGAGGGAATGCTGTGGGATCGGCACCACCATAGCGATCTCACTGCCTGATAGACCCGGAGTGAGACCTTCTAGAATCTCTAAATCTCCACTCCACTAATTAGGGAGACCATTGTGTCTGTTATCTCAGAATTTTCATTCATACCATCACCTTTCACTGTCAGTGTCATTCTGGTTTAGTTGATAAACCCGAAAGTCACCAGATCACTACAGAATATAATTTCCCCTATAAAATGAGAGCAGCACATTGAAATGATTTGTCACAGCTTTGATGAATTTTTTTTTTTTTTAAAGCACAGGACTTAAGTCATTTATAAAGCTACTTTCTGGGTAAGAAGCATCTCTTCCTTTCCCTGCACTTCTCTTACTTCTGTCACAGCTTCAGTTGAACAGCTGTGCTTCCTGCCCACCCAGAAGAAACAAGTAGTCTTATCATCTCTCCAGGAGAAACTAAAGTTGTGTTGAGTCATGCAACTGGGGAATCTGCTAGCCTCATTCTCTCGTCAAGTCAGTAGCTCCTACATGACAGCCTTCCCAATTATATATTTCAGATTTTTGTGCTGCAAAGAAAACAAAGCAAATGATTACCCATAGAGAATCCAAGGCAGGTATATCATCTATAGCTGCTTTCTGGGAGTAATCTCAAAGAAAAAGGGAAGTGCTAAAAGGACACTGGGAACATTAACAGAATCATGGGGGCAGGCTGGAGAACAGGGTGCAGAAATTGAGGAAGCACAAAGTGGGATTGGACAGCCAGACCACAGCCAGAGTCAATGCCACAGATGCCCAATTTGGATACTGCTGCCCCTGCTGGTAGGCATTGGATCCCATGGTGGCAGTACAACCATGACTGCCCCAAACTGGTGGCTGTTGCTGACTTTGCTGCCACTGACAGAGGGATAATCCATGATCCCTTCTTCTTTGCTTAAGTAACCTCTGATTCAATGTCCCAGATTTATGCATCTTATGGGCCAAGACAATTGTTGGTACCCAGGTTTTAGTAGCAATTTAAGGCCTGAAGAGTGAATATCAGCCCTCTTCATCTTCTATAGAAGAATTCTGTCTCCCACTAATTTCGCCAACCTTGGCAAGAAATTCAAATCCACCTTAACCTAGAAAATATCCGCTATGTGAGTATTTACTTTGAGCATGTAAAGGACCTCCACTCATAACCTTTAGAAATAAGATCTCTGAAAGTCTATTGAAAGCAAGGTCTAATGTTCCAAAATAAAGCCTTAAAGCAGGGCTCTCTGATGTGATTCTATAACCCGTAAAGTCAGAAAAATGAGAAATTATACCCCATCAATGTATGACATATCAAAGTGCATAAATGTATTCTACCATCATGTATAACTAATTAAAACAAATTTTAAAAAATTTTAAAAAGAAGAGATAATTTTTAACTGTTCGTGGGTTTGTATCTAATGTCAAAAAGGAAAGTGAAAGGAAAAGGAAGAAAAAATACTAACAAAGGAGAAAGGGTTCTTGGGGGCAGGGAAGTCAACCGTCTTGGATGGAGGAAGGGGTATATTTACTATTTTCACCGTTCACAGAAAAGGGATGTAATCCAAGGGGCAGAAATGATTGAGTCAAGGAACCCAGAATTCTACCCAGAGAGAAGGCAGAAATGTAACCTGCAATGAAGGAAAAGAGTGCTATGGAAAACGTAGGGCCCCAGGAGAGTGGTGTCCTCCAGAAACCTTGAACACCTGGGTGGCCCACCCAGCAGGCTTGACTCAGAGGCACCCTCCAGGAAGGAGGAGACAAATGGAGCTTTGATGCAAAAGACACAAGAAGGGTCATCTAATTATGGGACAGGCCAGCTGTCAGGATGAGAAATTTGCCAATGTGTCACTTGGCTGCAAGTGATAGAAACCCAACACTAACTAGCAAGGGCAAAAAGAGAATTTACTGGCAGGGTAAGGGGGTGCTTCATGTCTTTGCCAACAGGGGGGAGAAGGGGCAAGCTGGGCCTCAAAGATCAAATGTCCCATCTTGTGTCTCATCACTGCTTCTCRCCGAAAAGAAGAGGCACCACTGCCTCGACTTGTGGACCAATATCTTTGACCTAGTAGGAGCAGGATGGCTCACAAGGCTAAAGTCCTATGTCGGGTGGCTTCTTCCCTTAGGGAGGAGATCATCCTATTCTTTCAGTCCTAGTTCTGTAGAAATAATCTAAGGAGACTGACCCACTCAGGACAGGTGTCCGAATTTAAGTTTCTGACCATTTTATAAGAATGTAGAACTTTATTTATTTATTTATTTTTATGGGGGTGCTGAGGATCAAACCCAGTGCCTCACATGTACCAGACAAATGCTCTACCACTGAGCTACAATCCCAGCCCCAAGTTTCTGACCATCTTAAAGGACAATTGTTAGTTGTGAGCAATCTGCTTGCATTTTTACCTACCCCTCAGGTGATCAGTTGTGGATAGCAAATTGGGTCTTGCTGGTCCATCTTGGGATTCTTTTTCCCTGGATCTGCCCAGTATTCAAGGAACAAGGTCCTATCACAAAAACAAGACTGCTGGGGTCCCATCCCTGAAAGTCAGTGCTGTTCTCACAGAAGGGAGAATTCCTGCAAGCTTCAGTTGGTGTTTGTGAACGTCCAACAGTCTGGCTGGGAATAAGAGCATGGTCTTTTTCTGGGAGGAAAGAGAAGGCCCCTATCTTTAATACCCTTCTTTGTTTTTCCTGATACGAAGGCAGTGAGCTTGAGAGAAAGCATTCTTGAGAGCCCCTGAGTAACCAGGACAACGCCTCATCACCTCTGGGTAATCCTAGGTCCCTTGTGGGTACTGCATGGTGGTGGGGTTGAAAGCAGCCTGTCACCATCTCAGCTCAAGAAAGTTCTGGCAAGAAGCACATCTGCAGTCTGAGCATGGGCAAGGGCCCATGGTGCTTACCTTACAACAGAGCACTATCCGAGTCTAAGGAGGATCTGGGGCAAGGGAGACAGGCACCAAAGCCCCCAAGAACAAGGGGTCCTGATGATGCTTAGGGATAGTCAGGGGCTCAGCCAGTGTTCAATTTATTATCCCAAGTTCCCTCACCATCCCTGTAAAACCCTGATTGGTTTTACAAGGAACCGGCTTGAAATTAGGCAGATACAGAGCAAGTTTATCTTTCCTGCCCACTGCTGCTCACTCCTAGATAACACATTTCTAAGGCCACAGTCAAATTTACATTTGAAAAGTGAAAAAAAAAAAAAACAACAACAACACAATCATTCTGTATTTATGTTCCAAGCAACTGCCAGGAGGGATTCTTGATGGAACTGACTTAATCACAGTTGTTTTGATATCATTCAAATGGAGCTGTAACTCTGGAAAAAAGTCAGCACKCATGTACCTGAGCTGGCATGTTCTCCTGTCAGGTGCGGCTCCCGACCTGGCCTGGCCTTGCTGAAACCAAACCCTAAAAAGAACATCTGTGATATTAAAATTGTAGTTCTTGGTGCTGGTAGAACTTTTACATCCTAACCTGAACTTCGATAATTGGGAAAGACAAGTAGACGCTCCTGAATTACTGCAGTCAAGTTTATCCTTCGCTGTTCAGGGGAGTTGARATTGACATCTCCCTCCTAAGTTACAGGTACAACTGAACATTTTACATGAAGTTCTGTTGCAGGACCCAATTAAGTTAGTGTTCCATCCAACTCCTTGTAATGAGTCATGGTCTAACAGCCTTCTTCTATGGGAAAATGAAGTTACACAAGTGGATTTTAACTGTCATTTGCTGTTCGAAAATGCCTTTGGTTCATCTTTTTTCTACTTTTACTCAAGTTTCTTACTTTTGGACACATTTTTACTTTAAAAAAAATTAAAGCTCTATCCTTTTAGGGATATATGTCAACATGTCAACTGCTTTGTCACATTCTTTGCTAATGCCAATGTCATCAGAATTTAAAAAGCTGAAGCAAGGAATTGCATTTTGGAATGAACGCCACGTGAGTAGTCAGGGCAGACAGCCAGAACCTTCTGGTGAAGAGAATGAAAGCAGAACTGTGGTGGAGAGCATTTAAATCCCCTTTACAGTTCTGATCTCCTCCCCCCTTTCCCAGCCTCTGTGGCCGATTGGAACAAAGGTGGTGTCATATTCCCTGGGCACGCTGCCACCACTTTTTTTTTTTTTAACCCCAGTCTTTTTTTTTTTTTTTAAGACTCTTTTTTTTTTTTTTTTTAGAGCAGCTTTATGTGTACAGAGAAATTGTGAGGAAGGTACAGAGATTTCTTTCCCATACACCTCCTGCTCCCACACATGCATCACCTCCCCCATCATCAATATTCCCCACGAAAGTTACAACTGATCAACCTACATCGACACACTCTTCGCACCCAGAGTCCAGAGTTTGCATAGGTTTGCTCTTGGTGCTGTCCACTCCRTGGGCTTGAACAAATACACACTAACATGTACATACCCAGTGTCTGAAGAGTAGTTTCACTGCTTTAAAAATCCTCTGAGCTCCATCTAGTCTCCTCCCCGCCCTTAACCCTTGGCAACCACTGATCTTCTGTCTCCATAGTTGTGCCTTTTCCAGATGCCAGTTCGTTGGAATCACACAGAGTGGCTTTTTTCACTTATAATCTGCATTTGTTTCCTCCATGTATTTTCATGGTTTGACGGCTCCTTGCTTGCCACCGCACAGTCAGTATAAGCACCAAGATTTCACTCTTCCTGTCTACCCTCCCCTCCATGATGCACACATTTTAGGATCATTTCCTTGCCACCGACTTCCCCTGTGCAGGGGAAAGAAAAGCAAGTTACACAGCGAAGTCTAAACATCATGCTTCTCCATTGGCTTCCTGGCACCCAGTGTCCTGCTTGGGCTTARAGATTTCTTGGTTTTTATTTTTTAACTTAAATAAAATTTTATTGGTGCATTATAATTATACATAATAGGAAATTCATTATGCCATGTATTCATATGTGCACATAACCTAGTTTGATCATGCTTATTCCCCAGAATTTTCCCTATCCTTCTTCTCCTCCTTCCTCCTGATCTGCTTGCTGATTTCCCTTCTATATTATTGCTGTTTCAGTTAGTACATTGTTATCATATACATGTATATATGTATATGCAGAATTCATTGTGGCATATTCATACGTGGACATAATGCATTGGCCACCATGTGGTCTGCATTTTAAATTTTCTTTTCAAGTAGTCATTATCAACAGATTCAGTGTGTAGGGCCATGAAGGTAAGCATACTTTGTGTATCTGCCCTTGGCTGGAATTTCTCTTCCATGCTCACAGTGATGGCTAAAGTTTAGAAACTATTCATATTGGACATTTTTACATCAGAAAAAGTCCAGAAACGTCTCTCAGACCCCACATTTCAGAACAGTTAGCAGCAACATGTGAAAAAGTATCCAAGAAGCTATTTCATTTCCATGGCAGCCAGGGCCCAGACGCTAAAGCTTTATAGATTAAAATCAATGCCTGAATTGCATTCAGAAAGCCTGAATTGCCTGTCAGACTTCAGGACCAGCAGCACAACGTGATAAATGAGGTGAAGAGCCCCATCCAGGCCAGGGAGTGTGTGCCGCATTAGCGAGTACTTGGGTTTCTTTTTCAAAGCAAATACCAAATGGAATGAATTACTGGGAAACAGCAAATGAATGTCAAGAATTTGAGATGCGAGGGTTATAATTTACTAATTACTGGGAAACGATGAACACAAAGTCAGTGTGTGAAAGAATGTGGTAGGAGAAAGCGTGGATCAGGGAGACAAAGAAAGGGAGCAAGRCAGGAGGCCCTTGATTTCCATCCTGATCAAAGGAGATGGATTTAGAGACATAGACACCTGGTGAAACTCCCGGCTTGGTCATTACTAGTCTGTGTCATAAACTATAATGAGCATTAAATAAGTAGATCCACACCTAAGCTAGTATACAAGCACACAGGAGGCAGTCAATAAATGTTATGGYCCCCTCTTTCCAGTTCCCATTCAATTCCTTTCTCATTTAATGCTGAGAAGCTTGTACTGACTTTGTTCAGTGAGTCAGTGTGAGAGAAGGAGGCTTGCCGCCTCCCACAGCAGGTCATCAACACTTAAAGACAGCCAAGTAAGGACAGAGCATTGAGGGAGGCACAGAGACACCTTCACAGAGGCTGGGCTCATTATAAAAATGCTCAAATATTCTAACTTCTGATGCTGCTTTCTGTCTATCAATGCAAACTAACAACCCATGGTTTCATTCTCCAGTGTTTCTGCCTTTTTTTTTTTTTTTTGTGACACTAATGCATTTTCTGAGCCTAGACTGTCCATCAACCTTGTGCTCCTCACAAGGCTGCAATTCCAGGAGCTGAGGTAGAGACTCCCTGGGGCTTCTCCTCTGCCACCAGGGAAAGGAAGGATGTCATCTGAGAGGAAACTTGGACTGATTGAGCAAGACCTGGAATTTCTAGGGAGTCAAGAAACTCAAACATTTCTCTGGACTCATCCAGAAGCCAGTTGTGCAAAGTTAAAGGATCAGACCAGATCATCATTTCCCGATTTTCACTAGTTCTTTAAGAGGCTGTGATGGAATGGCTTGTTGTTTTCCAATGTCCACTCTCCCTTTGTTGGTACTGGTATCCTTGATGTTTAGCTGTGAAAAATGGCTGCTCAGAAGGAAGACCACATCGCCCCAGGCTTCCTGGCAATGATGGAAAGCATAGAGTGTATGTACCTTCTTGGGAGTCTAATTGGAAAGGAGAGTGTGTGCATCCTTMTCCTGGTCCTCCTTCCTCCTGCTAGTGTGATGTGTTTGTGATAGTTGAAACTGGAGCAGCTATCTTGCTCATGAGTGGATGCCACATGCCAGGAGGGCAGAACAAGACAAAAGAAAGAACCTGGATCCCTGAGGCTATTAGGAACCATGCCAAGACTAGACTATCAAGACTGCTTTTATAGGCAAAGGGAAAAGGTCCCCATTAGTCTGAATTTTTTGTTTCTGAAAATTGAAACTTAATCTTAAATAATAGAGATACTAACAGACATCCTACTAAAAATGGTTCCTTGGCCAAATCCTAGAAGTTCTGCATATCACAGACCCTTCTCAAAGATTTGCAACACATGACAGCCTTTAAGAAAGCACATTTCATATAACTTCTCTCCTGAGATTAGTATTCCACAGGCCCTTGTAACTCAGAATGTGGTCCGTCACCCAGGAATTTGTTAGAAATGCAGGATCTCAGACAACGCTAGACCTGCTGAGTCAGAATTTGTATTTTAAACAAGAGTTCCAGTGATTTGCCTCCACTGGATTTTGGGAAGCACCATGAGAGACTTCAGTGATGTCCTGTGGTCTTAGTTTGGCAAAGGCAGTGATGTACAGGCAATGAATCTGTCTGGAGCCCCTGAAGCCCCAGGGCAGCCTGAGGGATATCCACAGTTTCGAAATGGCTCTGAGCTCCTCAAACCTGAGGCAGCTGCTATCAACTCCATGAGTCTCACTGTTTCATCTCTCAGCTTTGGGTCAAGGTACTTGTTAGATGTCACATTGACTGAGACAAGTCTGTGGCAGGCTTCCTTGTCCTGTGCTTCTGCAGAAGGTCTCCTGCTAGAGTGTGTCCCCTGCTGCTGTACACCTCTATGTCTTACTGCTGCCTTCCTTGGCAAGTTACACATGGATCTATAGGCAAGATGAGAGGGGACCTCCAGGAGACCCAACACGACTTGCCAGACCCTGCAGGAACAGCTGTGTGGGCAAAACATCTGTCAGTCATTTCAATCATAGAAACTCATCTGGTCTCCTACCTTACACAGTCAAAGCATCAGTTGAATTAGGTCATATTGGTTGTAAATAGTAATCAATTGGATCAGTTTCATTTGCTTTTTACTTTATGATTTATCTGGAAATAGCAAATTGGAGGAGGTACTAGGCAGTAGAGAAGATCTTGTTATCTGGAATCGTATTTCATGGGTTGGGATCCAGATTTACAAGGACCTAACTGAAAAACTTCAGTCGAGCTTCTTCTCCAAGAAGAAGAGTTTTCTCACTATAAAATGAGAAAGAGTTTTCTCACTATAAAATCAGTTTCCTCACTATAAAATGCAGATTAATATAGTATCTATCTCCCAGGTTTGTTGTGTGGGTCATGTGAAGTACTGAGATTTGTTCTTGGCACATTGGAAGCATGATATAATAAAAAATTTAAATATTAATAGATACACACATGTTATAATTTACTACCACTGTATCATAATTTGGATTAAATTCAAAATCATGTGGACAGAAATCTAAAAAATGAGGAAAGAAATCTAAATATTGACAGGGGTTTTCAGCTTTGTTTCTCCCATGGGGAATTAGGTAAACTAATGGTCAGTTTTATTAAAGCAAAGCAGACAATTTGAGCATACACACATTTAATAAGCATATACTGAGTGTCAAGTAAGAGGTGAATGCAAGGTACTTGAGGACTACAGTAATGTAACAAATGAAGTTCCTGCTGTGGTGATTCAGTAGAGGAGAAAGACAAAGGCACAAATATCTTCATTAAAAGACCAATGGAGAGGGGTCGGGGTTGTGGCTCAGAGGTAGAGTGCTTGCCTAGCACGTGCAAGACCCCGAGTTCAATATTTAGCACCACATAAAAATAAAAAAAAATAAAATAAGGGTATTGTGTTCAACTACAATGAAAAAATAAATATTTTTTTAAAAAAAGACCAATGGAGGAAGTGCCATAATAATGTCCTATGAAAGCAGAAAAGCCCACAATAATAACGGGTAAGTGTGCCAGGAATTACATAGGTACTTGAACATTCATTATTCCTTTTGATATTCAAAGCAAGCCTTTGATGGCAGAATAAATCATTCTCATTTTGAAAATCACTAGATGGAGCTTTACAGATATTAAGAAAATTGCYGAGTTCTCATAGATGGTAAGTGAAAGAGTTAGGATTTGAACTCGAGTTTGGCTTTCTCTGTCACAAGTTAAGTCGAATGCAAAGAATAACAAACACTTCATGGAGAAGGTGACATTTCAATTTAGCCTTGAAAGAGACTTCGGGTCTTCCGGCAGAATTGGGGATCAGAGCAAGGGGTCGTGGGGAGCTGAATAGCAGTGCTGGCCCAAGGCAGTGGCGGACAAGGCTGGCAGAAGTCACCAGCGGCCTGTAGAGGTGAAAGGATTGTGAGACTGACAGAAGGGAGAGTGAGGGGGGCGGCCACATGGCGGCAGATCTTGAGGAAGAGGTTGAAGAGGGGATGCAGAGGATGCTGTGTAGCCCCAGGTGAAGGCACCCAAATCTAAAACACAAAATCATACCCAACAACCTCTCTGTGCTTGCAGCGTCAAACGAATCCGGCACAAGCCTGGCCCTCAAGGGCCAGTTTTCAAAATGGAAAGGCAATAGTGTCCACATGAAATATGGGTCCAAAGCTGGAATCACGGAGGTCTACTTCGAGTTCAGGTAGGGATGARGTTGAGGGGACAGAATAAAAAAAAAAAAAAATTGGCAGAGGGGCAGAGTCAGATGTCTAGTTAGCAAATCCAAACATGTGCCTATAAATTACAAAACAGATTTTAAATCTGGCTCTACCACATCCTTAAAAATTGCTTGCAGCAGGGAAAAGAGACCCATGAACTAGGCATTATCCATAGGTCTGCTTCTGAAGCTTCTAAAATTCAAACAGACAGAATTACTTTCTGCATTTCTTGTGATTTCACTGCATGTAGCCTCACTGCCCACCAGAGCTGCCAGAGCAGGGGGAGGGCCCAGTGCAGTGAGGATGGTTAAATAAAAACAGTTCTATTTTGGGCACGCTTTAATGACAACCCCATCTTAGAAATATTTTTCCTGTGATGCCTTTTCTGTTCAGTGTCATTGAAAGTGTTTTTAATTTCAAAGAGAGGTTAGGGCAAGGGATGTTAATCAATGGAATCCTGGCATGCTTTTCTATGAATGTGACTCATTTTTTATGTTTACCAGTGACAGAGATGAGCTGTTCAACCCAGGCAATATTGTCATTCATGCCTGGTTAATAAAGGAAGAAACAAATGCCTTAGGAAACTCGTCCTGACGTTAGAGGGAGGGAGGAGGACCTATTTTAGGGCTTTAGGATATTTCATTGTCCCCAGGCTGTTCCTGTGAGTCACACACAGGACAGAAATGTGAGGCAGAAAAGGCAAGAGAGCAGAGTCATCCAGACTAAAAAATAAGTTGGGGCTGCAATAGTGGATAATGGTATTTATGTATTCCTTGCTTGCTGGTTTCTGCCTTGCCTTCTGTTATGTATGCAGGGGGTGCAGCCTGAAATGCCTGCATTTTTGTTCCTCTAAATTCCTGTCCCTGGACACTGCCAGGATTTAGGGTGGGGTCAGCCCAGGGCCATTTTAGCCCCAATAAAGGTCTGTTTTATTAAAGGACTGCTGGTTGCTTGCCTGTTTACTGCTGCCTAATACAACCCTTTCTTTATCTCTTTTTGGCTCTGTCCCAAAGAAAGCAGGGAGACTTGCTGCTGCTTGGATCCCATCTCCAGTCTGGTCTTAAGGGGTTTAAGGGCTTGAAGTGAGGAAACACCGGAGCACAGCATTTAGGATGACATTTCAGACTAGTTTGCATCCCACTTATTATGAACAACAGTGATGACGCTCTGACCTCCCTCTTAGAGCAGTTTCTTCCACACTTTGAGGAGGAGCTCTGTACTCCCTGTCATTCACGTGCTCCCCCTTCCTTCCAGTGACAAGGTCCATGTTAGAGTTGACTGGGTGAGAAGTGAAGACTGTGTACATGGAGGGGTGGTTCCCTGGGAAAACTAACTGGCAACTTCTTCCCATGTTCTCATTAACTTCTCTGGTCCTGATAGTTGCCAAGCTAATAGCCTGGATCAAGGATAAGGCTCAGGAGGATCAGCTTCCTGAGCGTGTGACCACTGCAGTTGCAAGGGCTCTGCACTTAAAAGGGTCATGGCCTTTGTTTAATGAACTGCTGTCATTGGCTTGAAATTTCTTTTAACGTTTTTTTAAACAAGGGATCCACATTTTGTTTTATACTAGGCTCTGCAAATTATGCAACTGGTCCTGTTTATAAGACTCTACCTTTGAGCATTCTTGACTAAGTCAATCAACTGTGAAGATAAATCATCTTTTAGGCTCCCCCAGTGGTGTGCCAGGTCTCGGGGATTAAAGGATGCATAATGGGGCAATGACAAGTGGGCATGCCTGCTGAATCTTGCGATCTGTCTACAGTGCAGGAATTGAGCTTGTCTATTACATGAAAAGGCAAAATGTGGTGTAGCTGTGAACATGACCACCCTGGCAGAGCCAGAGTGCTTAGAGAAGAGGGTGACCAGCAGTGGCAGGTGTGGCCATGAGGTCAAGGAAGAGGAGTTTGAAGAGGCTTACAAATACGCCCTTGAAGATGTAATTGGAGACCTAGAGAAGCTGTAGAAGACTGAAAGCTGGCTGAAACTAAGGAGAGAATTCCAAAAGTGAAATTGGAGATAGGGAACATGTCCGGGGATAGACAGAGTGGAAGAGAGTTGGTGAGGGCCGAATGTTTGTGGATAGATGGCCTGTGACTGTCTGGTGGTCACTGGGAGGCAGGGAGGGCAGAAGGAAGGGGTGAGGAGGGTGCAGCAGGCTGCAAAGGGGAGGATAGAACAGGGAATGGGTACTACATAAGATCTAGCACACATCTAACAGTCTCCACGCTGCCACCTCCMCCTCCCTGGCAGGCCAGAGTCCAGGCTATGAAGGAGTAAAGCAGAAGGAAGGGGTTAAACTAGGTTTCTGAAAATCTAGACTGGGAACATGGGTAGCAGACTTACTTTGTGGGGATCATTGTAAATATATTTTCTGGATCTTGGACCTCACTATCAGAATCCCTCAGGGCCCTGGAGGGGGAAGAGSAGGAATCTACCCTTAAAACTGGCATTCTCAGGTAATCTTGATGATAGTAAACATTTTAAAACCGGAGGATGGAGAAATACAGCCAGTGGGGACAGCTCAGGCAAAATTTGGAGACCTGAATGCATGGTACAGTGAGACAGCAGTTGGATAAGGAAAGGAGTGTTGTGGGCCCAGGTCCTCTAGATGCCCAACTGGTCTGAGATGATTGCAGTGCAATCTGTCCCAAAGGCAAAGTGTCTGTTACCCAAGTCCCCAAAGGAGCCTCCTGTCAACCAACTTCCCACCACACCTTACCTTGTTGGGAGAAATTGTCTCCTGTAATCACAGGAAAATAGAACATTTTCAGTGAAGATGATGCTCCTTGCAGTAGTTTGGATCTTGACTGTCCCCCAAAGGCTTGTGTGTTATAGTTGTGGTTCCCAGCCCATAGAGTTACTGGGGATGGTGAGCCTTTAAGAGGTGGAGCCTCGTGGGAGGAAGTTAGGTCATGCCTTAGGAGGAGATATTGGGACTCAGACCCTTCCTGCTGCTTATGTTTACTTTCCAGTCACCATGAGGTAAGCAGCTTCTTTTGCCACATGCTCCCACAATGATGAACTGCCTCACCACAAGCCCCAAAGCAACAGAGCCTACTGACCATGGACCCAAATCTCTGAAACCATGAGCCAAAATAAATCTTTCTCCTGACAAGTGATTATCTCAGGTATTTTGTCACGGTGACGGAAAGCTGACTCACACACTCCTAAAGATTCTATTCTGGTGTATCTTGCTTATGCTTAGAGGCAGTCAGTCTGAAGAAGTTCGAAATAAATCTGACCTTTTGAGGGAGGGTTCTTAAATCAAAATGGAAGACTCATGAGGTGGCTTTATAGAGTGTGCTGCTGAGGGCCATTGCCAAGTAGGAATGACACATCGAAATTTCCTTGCCAGCGTACCCCATGTTAAATGGACTTGCCTTGGAAATCCGCTGTGACCTTGCATGTGTGTTTGAGAAAGGTGACCCTG